GCCGGCTGAAGGGGAACAAGACCCTCTGCCAGGGCTCAAGGAGCAGAGCCTGTCAGCGCTTCCCACCAGCCCTGGCAGCCCTTGGAGGCAAATCTGCTTCCTCTCCAGAGCGGGTTAACCCTTTCCTGGACCCTGCAGGCAACTTCACTCCCTAGAATAGAGCCCCAGAGTCCTGACTCCAGCCCCCTCCAGAGCCAGGAATAGAACCCAGGAGTCCTGGCTCCTTTCTCCTAACCCCTGTTGCAGCCTCCCCCCAGCACTGCTGGGAGCTCAGGTCATGATGCAAACATCTGGTGCGTGTGGCTGTGGTGGGGGAACAAAGCCCTGTGGGAGCCAAGTGGGGGTGGCTGAAACATTGTCTGAAACATCTGGGCTGCTGGGACTGGTGGCTGCAGGGGAGCCCGGGCGCCCAGCAGAGCAGTAATTGCATGTGCCTTGATCTGTATTGTCTCTGCACACTGGACAGAGCTGACTGCTCGCTCTTGGCCCCCGGCCCGCCAGCTCCCAGGGCCCACGCCATGGCCACAGCCCGTCCTCGCCGGCACAGCTCTCCCGCTGGAGCTGGGGCCTGGTTAGCGTGGTGCTCAGTACTCAGGGGGCGGCTGTCTGCCATTGCCACACGCAGTGCCAGCAGCTCGCAGACCAGGGATCGGGCTGCCCTTCCTCCAACAGAATCACAGACATTAGGGGTCAGGCCCCAGCCCCTGGGGAGGATCAGCCCTGGCAGACTCCCGGGGCTCTGACCAGGCCAGTTTTAAGCATCTGCCCCCTCTCTTGGGAGACTCTTCTGCAGCCCAGTGGATCTCCCCATCTCTCATGGGTACCTAAGAACATGCCCTGTGTCAGGTTATTAACTGCGGCTCCAACTGGGTATGGCTCCATTCCAAACGGGCACCATCTCCCCACGTGAGCAAGGGGTTCCCCGAGCGCCGGGGCTGGGATCGGAGCGGGTTGAGGGGGGCTCCTTCGGGCGGATCTGCCATCACCTGGCCCGTGGATTCTGAGCGACTGGCAGAGGAGCCCAGCCTTGCACAGCCAGCTGAAAAGTCCCCAGGCAGCCGTCTCTTCAGCAGAAAAGGGATCTTTGACAAAATGGGAATTTTCACCAAAAAATATCCACTTAATCAAAAAAAACTGGGCAGATTTGTTAAAAAAAAAGGAAAACCTGAACCTCGAAGAAGTCCCAACTTTTGGCAGCTAGAAAACTTCAGGGGGTTCTTTTGACAAAAAACACAAAATTTCCACAAAAACAAAAAAAACCCCTGTTTTCAACTCAATTTTCTGCTGGGGAAAATTCAATATTTGCCAGCAGCGCTCCCTGGGGCTCTGGGGTGAGTGGCAGCCACCCTGCCCGTGAGCAGGTGCAACCCTGGGGACGCATTCTGCACGTGCCCTTTCCCAAGCATGCCAGCACCATACGCAGCCCTGGGCTGTTTGCTTCCCTCCTGGCTGCTCCCTGGTACATTCCTCCCCCTGTGGCTGGCACGGGACATGCTAACACAAACCGCAGCACAAGCCAAACCAGACAGCCCCCGATGCCAGCCGCCAGGCCGAGACGGGCTAACAAGTCACCTGTGGCGACCGGGAAACCACGCCCAGAGACCCTCTGGGATAAACTGTCCCGAACGCCTGCAGGGCAAGGCAGCCTGAGTGCAGCTGGGTGGAGCCAGGGCACCCGGACACCAGCACTGACAATGAGCCAGTGTTGGGCCGTGGGGCGGCACGTCTATATTGCGAGCTGGAGGCTGCTCCTTTTCGGAGCCTTGGGCAACGTTCCCCCTTCCCCTTGGTTGGCATCTGGCTGCTCCTTGGGGTTTTCCTTCCTCTAAGGCCTTACGTGTAGCTACTCACCACAGCAACAGGCGGGCCGTGTCCACGCTCACTCTGGGGTGTGGCTACACACGGCAGAGAATGGCCCTGGAGGGGGGAGGCACTGGGGTGGGGGGAGCCCTACCCTGGGGATTCAGGCGTGTAGGATATGCTGCTCGCCTGAGCAGTGCCTGCCTCACCATCTACACTGCTCGCCAGCTGGGCTTACGGAGTCTGTGCTCTGACCCTGCCCTAAGACACGTGCCTGGGGTGAGCTGCAGCAGGGCCAGGCTGGGCTTGGCTTTGTTCCAAATGGACCCTTGTGTGACGAAGTGGGACTGTTCTTAATGTTTCCTCTGAATAGTGTGGGGGTGCCTCAGTTTCCCCTAGGCAGTTCTTAGTATCTAGGTGGTGGGATAAGGGTGTATGGTCGTTGCAGGGCCCTAGAGAGCAGGTGTGTGCAGGGGTCTGGACACAGAGAATGGCGGACACCCTGTTTCCTGGCAACTGATGGCCTGGGCCCTTCCACCCTGCAAGGTGAGAGCTAAAGGGTTGGAGAACAAAGGAATCAGGTGACCTCCCGGCCCGGGAAAGGAACAAAGCCCAGAGGAGGAGGGGCTGGAGGGAGTTTCAGTTCGGGGCTGGCTGGAGACATGGAGTGAAGGGCAGACGGGGTTGTCTGGCTCACTGCCCCCCAAAATGGACCCAGCTGAGGGGTCCTGTTCTCTTCACCTGCAAGCTCTGTGTTAGACCATGTTCCTGTTGTCTAATAAACCTCTGTTTTACTGGCTGGCTGAGAGTCACGTCTGACTGTGAAGATCGGGGGGAGGACCCCCTGGCTTCCCCAGGACCCCACCTGGGCGGACTGGCTGTGGGAAGCGCACGGAGGGGCAGAGGAGGCTGAATGCTCCGAGGTCAGACCAAGGAAGGGGGAAGCCGGGTGAGCTGTGTGTCCTGCAGACAGGCTGCTCCCAGAGAAGAGACTGCCCCAGAGTCCTGCCTGGCTTCATGGGGAGCAGTTCCAGAGCATTGCCCGGGGACTCCGTGACACCTTGACAAAGCCCCATTCCCCACCCCACGTGGGCCCGGACCAGCGCTGAGCTGTGCGCTTGGAGGCCAATGGTAACTGTCCCTGGTGCTGAGTCTGGGACAACCTGGCAACGCAGAGGAGAGGCACAAAATCCCTCCCGTCCACCAAGACAACGAAAGACCCTGTTTGCGCTCATACAATACGTTCCAGTGTACTCCTGAAATCCGGGCCGGGCTCCACTCCGGCCTTCCACAAATGATATTCAGTTTAATCCATACTTATATAATTCTGGACCCCGCTATGGCTCTGGAGTGGGGGGCTGGGAGGGGGGCTCAGTGCTCTAAGCCTCCCTCGTTGTCTCCCCAGTGACCCAGGCTCTCTCCTGGGTGGCTCACTCCCTGCACCGGGAAAAGGGGTTAGGGCGGTTTCATTAGGAAAAGCTGTCAGGGCGGCCCAGGAAATGCTAAATCAGTTTTCATTGAGCTTTCTGGAAGCATTTCAATTGCGATCCTCTTAGGGGGAAAATCCCCCCGTCTGCACCGTGGCATTTTATTTACAAAAAGCCACGCTTACTACACCTTCCCCCTGGGGGGGAGCACCTTAAACAGGTGACTTCCAGTGGGGGGGTTAATCCACGCGGAAGGCTCCGAACAGGCCAAGCTCTCTCGGGGCAGGAGCAGACGAGGTCGGCGGACGGTTTTTTGACACTTTCCACCAACTGACAGGTCAGCAGGAAGACGTGAAGATACTTTTCCCTCCTCTGGGCCGCGCAGATTGTGCACAATGTGGATAGGAGTGAGCGGCGTGCTTGGAGAGAGATCCCAGACCCCGCCCTCGACAGCAGTGTCCCCACCTTAGACCTCAGGCAACGAATCTGTCATGGAGTCTGTGATTTTAAGAGCCCTCCGTGACCCCGCGAAAATGCCAGTAATTCAGATGTGGGGCTTGGGTTTCAGCCCCTGGCGACGGAGCTTGGGCTTGGGCAAAAATAAACCCGCGATTTCTGGTTTGTTGCCTGCGTCCCGTCCGTGACTTTTCATAAAAATACCTATGCCAAACCCGGAGCCTTCCGGGCCCATCCTGCCCAGGGAGAGCGTTCCTGGTCACCATCACTGCTCCCCCGGGGTGCCGGCGGGTGACCAGACACACCAAGCCTTCTCACACCCCAGGTGCCCCTTGGATACAGCCCATCCCCCACAGTGGCAACGGGGAGCAGCGTTATTTGGAAACGACCAGTCATCTTTATAGTGGGGGCCAGAGGGGGTGCTGAGATAGGCTGGGGGTAACGCAGGGGGCCTGGCTGGGCTGGGGGGGCAGCCCCCATGAGCTGGGGATCCTTGAGCAGTCTCCCAGAAGCAGCAGGAAGGGGACATGCCCGGCAGCTCCCTGGATCCCAGGACACTAATGAAGTCACCCCCTCCCCAACCCCCCTGGGTCTGCGGGGACCCAGCGTAGGCACACACAGGGCCCCCCTTTCGCAGGTCCCAGGGGCGGGGGCGGGTTATTGCACTTGGCTCAACAATAGAAGACCAATCCCCAGCCCGAGGGTTGTGGGGGGCTCTGTGGTCTGCGTGGCCAGGGATCCCTGCTACTGACCCCACCCCCCCAGCTGCAGAAGGGGGTCACGCAGGGCAGCTGGCTGGGGCTGAGGTCACGGATCCCTGATATCGATACCTCCCCCCCACACACCCCAGATGCAGTTTTGCTACTACCCAGAACCTGGGGGGGGGGAGAGAAAAAGCTGCGGGGGGAGTGGGGGGGGGAGATGGCAGCTTGCTCCGGAGGGAACCCGGCCCCAGAGGAGGGGTCCCCTCTAAGCCCGGCCCAGAGAGTCCACCCCTATTGTCCAGTAGGACCACAGCCCTGCCCAGCCCCCGGGCGCAGAGGGGGGCCCCCCCAGTCCTGCCCAGCCCTGGGGCTCAGGCGCCCCCCCCAGCTCCTGCCCGGCCCTGGGGCGCAGGCGGGGTCCCCCCCCAGCCCTGCCCAGCCCCGGGGCGCAGAGGGGGGGCCCCCAGTCCTGCCCAGCCCTGGGGCTCAGGCGCCCCCCCAGCTCCTGCCCGGCCCTGGGGCGCAGGCGGGGTCCCCCCCCAGCCCTGCCCGGCCCTGGGGCGCAGAGGGGGGGCTGCCCAGGGCCCCCCCGGCTGCGCCCGGCGAGACTCACGGGTGCCATCGAAGCGCGTGGCGATGGTGTCCAGGAAGGTGTTCTGCGGGGCCAGCAAGCCCTTCATCACCGGCATGGCCCCGCCGCCGCCGCCCGCCCGCCCGCTCGCTCGCTCGCTCCCCCCCCGGCCCGGCCCGCGGGCTGCCAGCTCGGGCAGCGGGCTCCGGCGGCAGGTGCAGCCCCCGCGCCGCCCCGCTCCGCCCCGCGCTAATCCCGGCCGGGCTCTCGGCGCGGCCCCGCCCCGGGGGACCCTGCGGGCGGCAGCCGTGCGGGGGGGGACCTGAGCCCAGGGATGTGCCGGGAGGGGGGGGGCCTGCACCCAGGGACCTTCCGGGGGGGGCGGGACTCTGCACCTATAGATATGGGGGGAGAGGGAACCCTGAACCTAGGGACCTGCTGTGGGCGGGACACCCCGCACCCATGGACAGTGCTGAGGGGGGAAGGGTTCTGCACCCAGGGACTGTGCAGGTGGGAGGGGGGACCCTGACAGTGCCGGGGGGGGGAAGGGCTCTGCACCCAGGGACCATGGGGGAGGGGGGACCCTGACAGTGCGGGGGGGAAGGGCTTTGCACCCAGGGACCTTCCGGGGGGGGGACCCTGCACCTATAAACGTGGGGGGAGGGGGGACCCTGCACCCAGGGATAGTCCGGGAGCAGAGGGAACCCTGAGCCCAGGGACCTGCTGGGGGGCACCCTGCACCCATGGACAGTGCTGAAGGGGGAAGGGTTCTGCACCCAGGGACTGTGCAGGTGGGAGGGGGGACCCTGACAGTGTGGGGGGGGAAGGGCTCTGCACCCAGGGACTGTGGGGAGAGGCTCTGGGGTCGCTGCCCCACCCTGAAGCAGGTTTCCCTTCCCACTGCCCTGGCTGAGCTCACATCAGTTCGGAGCAGAGTGGGGCCCAAGAGGGGCTGAGCGCCCTGCCCCTCGGTGCATCGCCCGGGGCTGACACTGCAGCGCGTTGGCTGGTGGTGCTGAAATCTCGGCTCCGTGCCAGGGCTCCCTGCCAGCACCAGGTCCCACAGCCTGGGCAGGGAGGCCGTGGGGAGGCCCAGGGCTCGTGCTGCTTTCATTGACCTTCAGAGAGCAGTTCCAGCAGTGCAGCCCTGTGGGGACGCTCAGGGCGGCTCAGCCTGGCCTGCCAAGCAGAGACCAGCCGCGCCGGCCTTAGGTGGAGCGGATGGCTGGGTACAGCCTGGTCCTTGGAGAACTCGCTGGCCTCCCGCCCTGGCCTGGCGTCTCCACAGGGAGTTCCAGGGGGAGCAATAAAGGGGCTCCCAAAGGATCCCAGCGCAGATTCCTCTTGCCCCCCTGCAATGCCCGTGTCTCCTCCCCTGCCCAGCTCCGTGAGCGTAGCCCTCTGCAGCACGGGGTGACCCTCATAGGCAGCCCCCCAGCCCCGCTGAGGAATTTTTCCCTGTGACCCAAAGACTGGGCGGGGGCCAGGGGAGGAGCATAGGGTTTCCCATCAAACCTTGAACCCAGTGAGGGCAGGGGCCAGCGGTGCCGAGACCCAGGAAGGGGTCAGAGCGGAGGGCGCTGGGCTGGGTGTGGGAATGGGAGTCTGGCTGCAGTGGGATGTCCTAGCGGAAGGCTGGCCCAGCGGGCAGGGCAGGAGCCCGGGAGACCCAGGTTTGAGTTCTTGCTCTGCCATGCTCCCGTGGGCGCTGGGGCCACTCACGTCATGGCCCCAAGGGAGCCTGAGTCCTGCCCTGCGCCGGGTGGATGGGGCAGGGCTGGGGCTGGCTCAGCACCACTGCGACGGGGTGTGTGTGTGTGTGTGTGTGTGTGTGTTTGGGAACCCAGCAGCAACCCAGCGCAGCGAGGCCAGTTTATTTTCCAACACTGCCCTCTGGCTGCCAGCGCTGCCCAGCCCCCGTGCTGGGGGTGGGGGGAGCCGTTCAGACACCAAGCAATAGATCTGAGCATCTGCTGCATAAATCGGATGCTGCGAGCCGCGGACCACCAGCCCGGGAAGCGCCCCCCAGCCACACCCCCTGCTGCCGGCTAGCGGGAGAACAGCCCCCCGGGTGCTCCTCTGGGCTCAGGCCTAAGCCGTCCCAGCCAGGCCCGTGCAGCCAGCTCACCCGCTCCCAGGCCGGCCTGGCCTTGCCCAGCGTTCGGCCTGCGGGCCAAGGGGGCAGTTCCCAGGTGCACAGGTCGTTGGCAAACCTGCTCCTAGGCTCCTTCGCTCTTTCTCGAGAGACCCTCCCCTTAGCCACAGGCTCCCGGGGCAGGGGAGGCGGCCGGGGGAGCTGCCGTGTTCCTCACCCCACTCAGCGTGGTCCCAGCACCTCCTCCCTTCTGCTCCTGCCCAGGGCCACCAGGCCCCTCACACCCACATAACGGCAGCTGGCTGCTGGAGCCTCTGGCCGGACCCCCGGGCACCCCATCTCTCCCCCCTAGCCGCGGTGTTCCTGGGAGACAACATGCCAGGCAGACAGCTGGGAGCATCAGGCTGGGTTTATTTGTAAACGGCCCGTGGTGCCCGCAGTCATTAAAAGAGTCGCCGCGGTTCCTCCCCCACCCCCCCGGGCTGCGGCTCCCCCGGCCACTTCAGGAAAAGCTCCTTGCAGCCCCCCCGCACTGGCCCTTGGCCGAGTCCTTGCCCAGCTGGCCCAGGCACTCCCTGGTGTTGGTGGGGTCAGACTTGGTGGCACACGTGGCGGGAGGCAGCAGGGTGTCGGGGCCGGAGGGGCCGGGGGAGGCGGCCCGGCAGGCCGGGGCTGGCTGCTCTGGCGCCAGCTCTGCCCGCTTGCCCACGGTGAGGATGCCGGCGGCATGCTTGCCCGGGCCGTGCAGCAGGTCGTAGAGCTGGCTCTGGAAGGCCCGCGAGCCGCTCTTCCTCTTGCCCATGGTGAGGATGCCGGCAGCGTGCTTGCCCGGGCCGTGCAGCAGGTCGTAGAGCTGGCTCTGGAAGGCCCGCGAGCCGCTCTTCCTCTTGCCCATGGTGAGGATGCCGGCAGCGTGCTTGCCCGGGCCGTGCAGCAGGTCGTAGAGCTGGCTCTGGAAGGCCCGCGAGCCGCTCTTCCTCTTGCCCATGGTGAGGATGCCGGCAGCGTGCTTGCCCGGGCCGTGCAGCAGGTCGTAGACGTGGCATGGGCAGGTCTTCTGGCGGCAGCAGACGGGCACACTCTGCCGGGCCGCAGCCAGCGAGCAGAGCAGTGCCAGGAGCAGGAGGCAGGAGGGCCTGTGGAGCTGCAGGTGCAAGAGGCAGGCATTAGCGCAGGGACAGGCTGGCACTGATGGGGGTAAACCCAGAGACACCCCAGCCCCACTCTGCAGATCTCAGAGCCAAAGCTGCAAAGAAGCTGGTTCCCCCACAAAAGGAGCCACCAGGTGGGCTCAGCCCAGGGGCCCATCTAGCCTGGCATCGTGGCTCTGACAGCCCCAGCAAGATGCCCTGCAGTACCGGGCTGCCCAGCTCCGGGAACCCTGCCCCTGACCCACTAGCGACAGGTTGGTTGGTGCCCAGCGACCAGCTTGTCCCAGCCTGTGGGGGGCCCCCAACAAGCTGTCCCAGCCCACCCCCACACCTCGCAGGCCCATCTACACCCTCTCCCAGCAAACCCCCGTGGGCGCCACCTTGCTCCCCTGCCCCACTGTGAACCCTCAACAAACGCTTCCCCTAAAAGACCCAGCGTGCCCCACTCTCCCATAGCCATCCCCCAGGCTTCTCAGCTGCACTAGCTGGGCTGCATGATCCTCCCATGGCAGGACTAGAACCCAGGAGTCCTGAGCCCCTGCCCCTAACCACTAGCCCCCACTGCCCTCCCAAAGCCAGGACTTGAACCCAGGAGTCCTGCCTGTCATATGCCCTTTGCACAGGCCCTAGCAACCTGCTCCAAAATCCAAGACAAAGAGACCAGACACGCACTGTCCCCTGCCCCTCACCCATGGCAACACTGCAGCCCCCGCCCCTTTCCATGTGGGAGAAGCAGCCGCGGCGGCTGCAATTAGCACTAATTGGCCCCCTGGCTGGCAGAGGGTGCGTCATGGAGACCAAGCTGCCCCTGGGGAGCCCTCCGGGGTGAGGCAGAGACTGGTGCAGGTGGGAAGCTCACCCCATTTCGTGCATGGCCGGCGGGGTCAGGCTCCAGCTGCTGCAGGCTCTGGGCAGGGTGGGGAAGGGGTTAAATAGAACAGCTGCCGGGTCTCCCTTTAACGCTGAGTGGGGCTCAGTTCTGCAACACCCAGCGCTCAGCGAGGTCACAGTGTCCCCGTGCAACGCACGTGCATCGCACCGTGGGGCTGAGTGGGGAGCAGTTCACACAGCGGATGCAAGGCCACAGCTGAAAGGCCAGGGTGGCTTGGGCCACAGGTGCCAGGCGGGGCAGACCCAGGCCCAGCGTGTAGCCCTAGGAGGTGGTTTCACCTCAGCTTGCCCAAGCAGGTCTTTGCCTCCCCAACGTCCTACGTGGCCCAGCAGGCCGGCTCCAGGGCTCGTGTGGCAGGGGAGGAGGCATCCTGGGGGGTTCTGGGACCCCTCTGGGATCAGGAGAGACACTGGGAACGGACACAGCAGATACCATTTGCACCCCGGCCTGTGTCCCCGAGGGCAGGACGGGCTGGGCTCCTCCCCAGAGCTGCCCACCAGGGGGGGCGCATGGGGCGGGGAGCCGTGGAGACATGCCAGCCCTTGGAGCTGCGGCTCGCAGGGTTTCCCCAGCGAATGCGGCAGGGAAGTGTGAACCTCCCGGGTTCAAGGCCCCCATCGCGCCACCCCCTGGTCACCGTGCTCCCCCTCGCGCTGCACGCCTGCCCCTTCCCCAACCGTGCCCTTCCTGGGGCGAGCCCTCCCTGCACTACGGCTGCTCTTCTGCCCGGCCCAGCCCTGGGGGCCGGGCCCTGGCGCCGTACCTTGCCGTTGGGCGTCTCCATCGGTCCGAGGTGTCTGCGAGGGCCTGAGCGCAGCTATGGCATGGCCCGGTGAGGCGCAGCGATGCCCTGAGCTGCTCTCCCTGGCAGTCCAGGGTTTTATAGGGCCGGGCTGCCCCACAGCTCATTCCCTGCTCTCCCCAGCCCCCGCACACTGGTGCTGCCAAAAATAGCCCCTGGCAGCTGTGGGGCCGGGGCTGCAGGACAGGCCAGGCTCTGGGAGACACGCACCCATTGTTCCCCATTGTTCCCCGTTGCTTGGAGACGGGCGAGGCCCGTTCCCTCATTTGTGGCTCCCCATTATGCGGCGGCCGGAGCCGAGTGGCTGGTGGTCGTGCTGGATGGAGACACGCTGTGTAGCCCGGTGCTAATGAGCCGGTAACTTCCTAAGGAATCCGCCAGCCTGCCCGGCACAAAGCTGCCGGAAGGTCAGCGGCAGGGAGGGGAGGGGGGGACGGGGCCCCATTAGGCTAATTACCTTGCCCCAACAAAGGGCGCCCGGCAGCCGAGCCGCATCCGTCCCTGACGAGTCAGAGGCGCTGGCGTGGCCGCACATGTCCGTGGCACGGTGCACCTCCGAGCCCCCGGAGCGCCAGGCCCTGCAGGCAGAGACCGCGGGGGGACACTGGAATATGCGTTGTCGTGGGGGCGCTGGTGATGGAAACCCCAGATTTGGCTTATTACTTCTCCAAGCCATTGCCAGCACCACTGCCCACCCCCCATTTCCAGCCCCAAAGGAGGCCCCTGCTCAGACCTGGGGCCCTGTCAGTCCTCACCCTGCCTGTGGGTCAGGCCCCGTGGCCTGGGAGAGGACGTCTGGGGTCCATCAGACTCCCCCAGCTGGATTTGGACAGCCACACCTCAGCACAAGAACCACCGCATGGCAACCCCCAGGCCGGCATCTGTGCCCAGCCATGGGCACCTCGCTGCAAGCTGGATCGCGCTTGGGGAGCAGTGGGGGGGTGACCCCAGGGACAGGCTGCTCAGTCCCATGGCACAGGGCAAACCCTCTATCCCCCCCGCTCCAGGAGTCCCCGCTGCATCCAGACAGGCCATGGCAGGGTGGGGGCTCCCTGCGGCTCCTGCCTCAGCCAGGAGGGGCACTGGGGGACATGAGGCCCCCTCTGCACCCACCGCTTGCAGAACGGCCCCATGGCCACAGCTCAGCGGCAAAACGTCCTGTTTTCACGCACTGCCAGGCACCCTCCCCAGGGAGCTGGCCCAGCTGCTTTGCAGGGCTGGGGGGGGTGACCTCCATCCCACCCCTCAGGCCAGCTGGGCCCCGGCTATCGACAGCATCCCAGGCCACATGGGCCCACAGGAGCCACCCAGCGCTGGTGGAAGCAATGTCCTTGGTGGGGCCAGGCCCTCCCCTGGCCTGGCACCAGCTAACGGCAGGAAGACCAACGCGGGACGCACCTGCAGGGACACACCTGCTTCCACTAGCCCTGAGCTGGCCCCCTCAGGTGGGGCTGCAGGGGGCTTTGGCTGGAGGTGTCCGGCTAAGATGGGGCTGTCGCAGTGGTGGGGTGTGTCTGCATGGGGGGCACGGCTGTCCGTGCAGCACACAGGGGCCCTAGTTTGAGGCTGGCATGGTGAGAAATGAGCCCTGATGGACCGTGCCCTGCAGAGGATTGGGCAGGGGGCAGAGACATCCCCTGTGGGTCAATGACCCAGAGCCACCCCATCACCCCTGTGGGAACTGGGGAGAGGCTGGGAGGACAGGGTCTCAGCCCCAGGGCACCAAGGGCAGGAGATGACTGTGCAAATAACTGGGGCAGGGGGGTGGGGGGGTGGGGACGACGGACCTGGCCCTGCGGCTACTCTGACCTGGCCGGAGAGCGGGGCCGGGAGTCCAGGCCGGCCCAGAGTCACAGCAGCTAACGGCTGCACCTCCAGCTTCTCCTTCCCTGGGCCTGGTGTCCTGACCCAGCTGCTGCCTCCTTCCTGGGCCCCTTCAGGACATCGCGGTCACCATGCAAGCAGCAAGTGTCCCCCCTGCAGCAGGAAAACCCCTCGGGCTGGGGCCACTGCAATCCTGGGGGGCGGGGGGGCATGTACAGCCTGTGCCCCAGGCCTGCCCCATGCCGGGCCCAGCATGGCTCCTGGCTGCCCTGTGACCCATTGGAGCTGAGCTCCCCCAGACCCACACATGGCTGACCCCACCCTGCCTCTGGCCCTCCCTGCCTCACAGCCCCACAGACAGAAACAGCAGCCGTGGCACCAGCTTGGGGTTTGCTCTTTATAACACTGCAGCTCTGACCCTGCTCTGAACCCCCGGGGGGGCTGCTCCCAGCTTCTGCTGCCTGTCTGGAGACCCCGCCCGGCTCAGAGCTGGTTTCTCGGGCTCCCACTGGGCCGAGCAGCCCCCTATTGCTCTGGGTCTCCACCCTGCCGCCCGATTCACCGCAGCAGGAACCCTTGTAATCGCACCTGACCCCCTGGGGCAGTTCTCTGCCCAGCCCCACAGCCAGGCCCCTGCTCCAGGCTGTGCTCACCAGCTCAGCCCTGGGCCCTGACCCCCAGGTGGGGCTGGGGAGGCAGCCCATGAGCCAGGGCACGGTTGTCAGCTGCCTGGCCCCTGAGCCCCGTCCAGGAATGTTCTCTACGGCAGATGGGCCAGAGGAGGGCGGGGGGCTGGGAAAAGCAGGAACCTTCATGGCCGCTCCCAGCCCCACGGCAGCTCAGCGGCTTTGGGCCAAGGACGGAGGCTCAAGGCTGAGCCCAGAGCAGGCAAAGAGCCCAGCCCTGAGCCGGGACCCTTGGGGGCGGCGGGGGTTTGGCAGGCCGGTGGCGAGACGGAGCAGGTGTGAGCCCCACTCGGTGCCCAGAGAGCCCCCCTCTGAGACCCCCACGTCTGCAGGCTGGTGACGCTCTGTAACGCGCTGGCATAACCCCGCAGTGCAGACACAGCCGATGCCCTCCAAAGGGGGGTTCCATCGTGGGGTGAACACCAACTGCCCATGTGACGGTACCCCTCGGCTGCAGCTGCACTGGTGGGGGGAGGGCGGCCCAGCTGCAGCCGGGGGGGTACCGTCACGTGGGCAGTTGGTGTGAGTGCTAACTCTGCCCCCACCCGAATCAACTTGTCTGGATCGCCCTGGGACGGCCCGGGCAGCCCCCACCCCGCCGACAGCCGGGCTCCTGTCTTCCACGCGCACGGTCAAAGGCCTGGGAGCTCTGGGGTGGGGTCGCTGCCCGTACAATCCTGGGTCCGTGGCAGGAGCGCTGGGGGCCCCGGGCTCAGTCCTGGCCCCCATGCCCTGCCCCGCGGTCAGCAGGACCCAGTGTCGCTGCCTCCTTCTGTCTCGGAGATGGGCTCCAGCGGGGTCCGGGCCTGGGCGAGGTCGGGGGAGGCAGAGCCATTCCTGCCGATGCCACACGACTGCCCCGCGTTGTGAATCTGCCACAGGTTGTCCAGAGCTTCCGCCTTGGCCTGCTTCAGGAGATCTGCCTGGCCCTGCAGCGGGGAAAGGCCACAGGTCAGGGGGCGTGTGGGACCCCATCAGTACAGCACCCAATGGGCACCCCCCACCCACGGGGCCTGGCTCCTTCGAGGTCTCCGTGCTCTGGGGGAGCAGCCTGGACCCAGGGGCACACCGCTCCTGCAGCAGCTGGAGAGCAAGGGGCAGGGGCTCCCCCCTGCCAGCGGGTGCTGGCCCCTGGGCTGCGGGGAGGGGGGCCCGACGTACGACACGCAGAGACCCTAACCCAGCCGAGCCAGCTCCCCTCTCCAGGCAGAGTCACTGCCCCCTACAGCACAACCCCACCTCCCATGAGACGAGCTGCGTCCCCCTGCCCCAGCCCTGCCCGGGGCTTCGGGGGCTAGAAGGGAGCCGCGTGATCCTCTCGTCTGACCTCCTGCACAGACCCTCGCCCCCAGCTGAGTCCCTGACGCCTCGGCTCACGGGTCAGCCACGCGACAGCAAGTCCCCCCTTTCACGCCCGCCTCACAGCCAGCTCCAGGCATTCGGGTCAGCACAGGCTGGAATCCCACCCACCCGTGGCCTCTGTGGGGTGAACGGGGGGCAGGGGGATCTCAACCCAGCCCCCTGGCGGGACAAGGCTCCACCCCACAAGTGGCACCGAGAGCGGACGATAAATGCAGAGATCTACCTATGCAGGCCCAATCCTGCTGTGGGCCCAGCAAGCTCAGTTCCCATGGGCCCTGAGAGGAGCGGACACACCCTACAGCTGGCAGGACATGGTCCTTAAGGGATCACGGCGACGCCGTCCCCCCGCCCCCCATCGCTCCGGGTCGAGGTGCGTTTACATGGCACGTGGGGGGGCCCTGCTATCCGGCGCCAGCAGAGCCTGGGGCTGGGGGTCACCTGCCCAACCCGGCACATACAGGGCCCCAGCCACACCCGGCCCCCTTCGCTGCTCACTAGCCCCTATGGGCTACTGCTCTGGTCCCACCTGGAGTCCACTCTGCGCCTCCCGCGGCCAAGCCCCAGCTGGCTCCCTGGGCAGGCAGCGGCCAGCAGGAGGCAGCGTTTACACGCCCAGCGGCGGTGGGGTGTCGTGGGGGGAAGCGGCTCCGGGCAGCGGCACCAGACCAGCCCGACGTGCGCCTGTCCCCACAGAGCCCCTGTCCGGGCAGGGACGGGGAGCCCCGAGAACCAGCCAGGACGCAGAGCCCGGCCGTCGGCACAGTGCTGGGAACCCCCCGCCGTGAGCTGGGGCCGAACCCGCGACCCTGGGCGCACAGTGCCCGAGCCAGGGGAGCAGCTCCCTTCGCTGGCGGCAGCAGTGGGCTGTTCTCCTCTCTGCGGGCAGCCGTGGGCACCACACTCGCCGCAGACGTGGCCCCTCCAGCGTCCCAGCCATGTGCCAGGGGCACGGGAACACTTGGCACAGCGAGGGGGGCGGGGGGCTGAGAGCCATTGAACCAAGCTCAACCCTGCACATGATGGAAACCACGTCAAGCCAGGGGGTGCAGCAGCCCCCCAGTTCTGGCCCCTACGCCCGCGTGGCACTGCCCTCTACTCTCCCCAGCTCAGCACCTTAGGGCCCCCTTAGCCATTGCCCAGCTCCAAGGGATGCTCGCTCCCCAAGACGGCCTGTGCCCCACACAGCCCCTAGATGGCAGCACGGGATCACTGTACAGCACCTTGATCCAACCTGCCTCTGACGGACCCACGCGAGCAGGGCCCGGGTCTCCCCACGGCCCACCCCACGCCCAGAACAATGGGGCCCTGGTCCAGGCCCAGGCAGGGCAGAGCCCAGTTCAGGGGGCACAGAGCTGTCCTCACCTGTGTGTGCCCCATGGCACCCCCCTGCACAGGCCAGCAGGGACCATGTGAGCCAAACTGTGGCAGCCAAGCCTGCGGGGGAGGCCAGGATGCCGGGGTTCACCTCACCGGCCAAGAACAGCTCAGGGGATCCTTGTGTGACGAAGTGGGACTGTTCTTAATGTTTCCTCTGAATCGTGTGGGGTGCCTCAGTTTCCCCTAGGCAGTTCTTAAGTATCTAGGTGGTGGGGTAAGGGTGCATGATCATTGCAGAGCCCTAGAGGGCAGGTGTGTGCAGGGGTCTGGACACAGAGAATGGCCGACACCCTGTTTCCTGGCCACTGATGGCCTGGGCCCTTCCCCCCTGCAAGGTGAGAGTTAAAGGGTTGGAGAACAAAGGAATCGGGTGACCTCCTGGCCCGGGAAAGGGACAAAGCCCAGAGCAGGAGGGTCTGGAGGGAGTTTCAGTTTGAGGCTGGCTGGGACATGGAGTGAAGTGCAGACGTGGTTGTCTGGCTCACTGCCCCCCCCAAAATGGACCCAGCTGAGGGGTCCTGTTCTCTGCACCTACAAGCTCTGTGTTAGACCATGTTCCTGTCGTCTAATAAACCTTCTGTGTTACTGGCTGGCTGAGAGTCACGTCTGACTGCGGAGTTGGGGGGCAGGACCCTCTGGCTTCCCCAGGCCCCTGCCTGAGCGGATTCGCTGTGGGAGGCGCACGGAGGGGCAGAGGATGCTGAATGCTCCGAGGTCAGACCCAGGAAGGTGGAAGCTGTGTGAGCTGTGTGTCCTGCAGACAGGCTGCTCCCAGAAAGGAGACTTCCCCAGAGTCCTGACCGGCTTCATAGGGAGCAGTTCCAGACCATCGCCCAGGGACTCCGTGACAACTGGTGGCAGAGGTGGGATGTACTGCACCCCGTGGATGGCGCTTCCTGCAGTAAGTGACTGGGGAGCAGTAAAACGAAGGGGGATTGATGAGGACCAGGCGTGCTGAAGGCTCAGAGAGGAGCGGTTTCGGGGGCGGTTAACTCCTGGGAGTGTGTGACCAGCGAGAAGGACTGTGGAGTAATGGGGTCCCCCTGGGGACTGCTATGAGCAGTTTCAGGGGCGGAGGAGCCTGCGGCTTGGCCCTGAGAGAGAGAAGGACTTTTGCAGTAACAGGGTTCCCCGGGGGATTGCAGCGAGCAGTCCAAGGCGCGGAGGAGTCTGCAGCTCGACCCTGGCAAAGAGGGGGTGACCTCGAGAAGGGCTGACACACTAGGGGTTCTCCCTGGAAACCGTGGGGAGCTGAGAACACACGGGCCTGTGAGTCCACAACAACTTGGGAAGAGCGGAGTGATGGCCTGTCACCGTCTCCTTAAGAAGGACATTGTAACCCTGTGCAGAAAGAGAGAGTTGAGCATTGGAAAGTTCACCAAGGCAGAGTTAATCGTGCAGCTGGAGGAGGATGACCGCTCTAAGGAACAGACTCCTGACCCCAACTGGGGCTATAGCAGGATCTGGGAGCAGCTGGAGCAGTAGCCAGGCATTCCCAAGACTCTTGTCCCCGACCAGACGAGGGTCTTCACGATCGGGTTCCCCATCGGGGGATCGGAGACGGACGGGATTGAAGCTGAGTCCGAGAGAGCAAGAGGACTGTGAGAGACAGCGAGAGCCCGAGAAAGAGCTGCAGAAGCAGCAGCAGCATGAACTGGCGGTGGGGGAGCGGAGAGGCCTAGGGGACCTCCCAGGGGTGAGTGGGGATAGACCCCAGGGGGCCAGTTCCGCAGGGAACCTCGAGACTAAATTGCTGCCCCTGGTTGGGGGGGAAGGGGGGGATGTGGATGTCCACCTCACTGCCTTTGAGCAGGCTGGAGATTTGAACCAGGGGGACCCTGTGGAAAAGCCCCGGTGTCTAGCTCCCTTGCTGGGTGTGACGAAGTGGGACTGTTCTTAATGTTTCCTCTGAATATTGTGGGGGTGCCTCAGTTTCCCCTAGTCAGTTCTTAAGTATCGAAGTGGTGGGGTAAGGGTGTATGATCCTTGCAGAGCCCTAGAGGGCAGGTGTGTGCAGGAGTCTGGACACAGAGAATGGCCGACACCCTGTTTCCTGGCAACTGATGGCCTGGGCCCTTCCCCCCCCCCCCCAAGGTGAGAGCTGAAGGGCTGGAGAACAAAGGAATCAGGTGACCTCCTGGCCCAGGGAAAGGAACAAAGCCCAGAGGAAGGGGGGCTGGAGGGAGTTTCCGTTTGGGGCTGGCTGGGACATGGAGTGAAGGGCAGACGTGGTTGTCTGGCTCAATGCCCCCCAGAATGGACCCAGCTGAGGGGTCCCGTTCTCTGCACCTACAAGCTCTGGTTTAGACCATGTTCCTGTCGTCTAATAAACCTTCTGTTTTACTGGCTGGCTGAGAGTCACATCTGACTGCGGAGTTGGGGGGCAGGACCCTCTGGCTTCCCCAGGACCCCACCTGGGCAGACTCGCTGGGGGAAGCGCACGGAGGGGCAGAGGATGCTGAATGCTCCGAGGTCAGACCCAGGAAGGTGGAAGCTGGGTGAGCTGTGTGTCCTGAAGACAGGCTGCTCCCAGAGAGGAGACTTCCCCAGAGTCCTGACTGGCTTCATGGGGAGCAGTTCCAGAGCATTGCCCGGGGACTCCGTGACACAGGCCAGCCCTTGGGGGGCTGTAGCCCCACTCCCCACACAGGGCTGGGATTCAGCCCGACGGCGTGCTGAATGGGTGACTCAGCCCTGTGGGTGCTGGAGCAGCTGGGAAGGGCTCCTAAGGAGTGGAGGCTGCTGGGCCGGGGGCATGGAGCTGGCAGGCTGCTGACACCAGGACAAAACAGCCAGGCTGAGGGAACCAGCCCCGGCCACCAGCACACCCCTTTGTCCGCAGCCTTGACTGTACCCAGCCCCGCTGGCCCCGATCCCTGGGCGTCTCAGCACTGCCACGTGACCCAGCACCCAGCAGGCCCAGGGCAAGGCTGGGCTGGGAGCTGGTGGCCTGGAAGGTCAGGGCAGGCCGAGAATCTGCCCCAGGTCCCAAGATCAATGGGCATGGGGGAGACACACACCATCCCGGCAGGATGCACAGGGCCATTGCCAGTGCTGGCAACGCAAGAGGGGAGCGGGAGTCCTGGGTTCCATTCCTGGATCCGCCACTGACTCTCAGTGTGGCCTTAAGGAATTCCCTCCCCCGTGCCTCAGTTTCCCCCAGGAGAGCAGGGATAACGCCCGTCCTGTGGGCATGTGAATCTGGCCGGGTTTGCTACGTAGGGAGGTGTCACGGAGTTCCTGGGCGATGCTCTGGAACTGCTCCCCATGAAGCCAGTCAGGACTCTGGGGTAGTCGCCTTTCTGTGAGCAGCCTGTCTTCAGGACACACAGCTCACACAGCTTCCACCTTCCTGGATCTGATCTCGGAGCATTCAGCATCCTCTGCCTCTCCGTGCGCTTCCCACAGCGAGTCCGCTCAGGCGGTGCTCCTGGGGAAGCCAGAGGGTCCTGCACCCCAACTTCGCAGTCAGACGTGACTCTCAGCCAGCCAGTAAAACAGAAGGTTTATTAGACGACAGGAACATGGTCTAAAACAGAGCTTGCAGGTGCAGAGAACGGGACCCCTCAGCTGGGTCCATTCTGGGGGGGCAGTGAGCCAGACAACCACGTCTGCACTTCACTCCATGTCCCAGCCAGCCCCAAACTGAAAAACCCCTCCAGCCCCTCCTCCTCTGGGCTTTGTTCCTTTCCCGGGCCAGGAGGTCACCTGATTCCTTTGTTCTCCAACCCTTCAGCTCTCACCTTGCAGGGGGGAAGGGCCCAGGCCATCAGTTGCCAGGAAACAGGGTGTCGGCCATTCTCTGTGTCCAGACTCCTGCACACACATGCCCTCTAGGGCACTGCAATGATCATACACCCTTACCCCACCACCTAGATACTTAAGAACTGCCTAGGGGAAACTGAGGCACCCCCACACTATTCAGAGGAAACATTAAGAACAGTCCCACTTCGTCACATCTCTCCCCCTTCGAGATCGAACTGAGCGGGGTCACTTTAGCCGGTGACCTGGGGAAGTTCGAAGCCACCAACGTTCCCATGGATGCCCCAGCATCTCTCCCATTCCTTGGTAGGAGTTACACCAGGCCCTTCCAGTTTCACGCCCTCCCTTAGGTCAGGGGTGGTCGATAGCACTCGCAGGCCGCATGTGGGAAGGTTTATGCAGCCCATGCCCTTTGGCCACCCCAAGAATGTCTCCCCATTGACCATCACCTTCTACTCCCACTGGAGGTCCGGGGGCCTGGCCCCAAGAAACTCCACACAGACATATAGGTTGGGGTCAGGAGTGGGAGCCTGTCCACATCCCCAACCACCTGGCTGACGGAGTCTATGGCCTTGGGACCCAGCAAGGGAGCTAGACACCGGGGCTTTTCCGCAGGGTCCCCTTGGTTCAAATCGCCAGCCTGCTCAAAGGCAGTGAGGTGGGCATCCACACCCCCCTCCTTAACCAGGGGCAGCAATTTAGTATCGGGTTCCCTGCGGAACTGGCCCCCGGGATCTATCCCCACTCACCCCGGGGAGGTCCCCTAGGCCTCTCCCCCCACCACCGCCAGTTCATGCTGCTGCTGCTTCTGCAGCTCTTTCTCGGGCTCTCGCTGTCTCCCACGGTCCTCTTGCTCTCTCAGACTCAGCTGCAATCCCGTCCGTCTTGATCCCCCGATGGGGAACCCGATCATGAAGACCTCGTCTGGTCGGGGACAGGAGTCTTGGCGATGCCTGGCTCCCGCTTCAGCTGCTCCCAGATCCTGCTTAGCCCCAGTTGGGGTCAGGAATCTGTTCCTTAGAGCGGTCATCCTCCTCCAGCTGCACGATTAACTCTGCTTTGGTGAACTTTCCAATGCTCAACCCTCTCTTTCTGCACAGGGTTACAATGTCCTTCTTAAGGAGACGGTGACAGGCCATCACTCCGCTCCTCCCAAGTTGTTGTGGACTCACAGGCCCGTGTGTTCTCAGCTCCCCACGGTTTCCAGGGAGAACCCCTAGTGTGCCAGCCCTTCTCAAGGTCACCACCTCTTTGCCAGGGTCGAGCTGCAGACTCCTCCCCCCTGAGACTGCTCCTGCAGTCCCCAGGGGGACCCCATTACTCACAGTCCTTCTCGCTGGTCACACACTCCCAGGGGTTAACCGCCCCCGAAACCGCTCCTCTCTGAGCCTTCAGCAGGCCTGGTCCTCGGCAATCCCCCTTCGTGTTACTGCTCCCCAGTCACTTACTGCAGGAAGCGCCATCCACGGGGTGCAGTAGATCCCACCGCTGCCACCAGTTGTCACGGAGTTCCTGGGCGATGCTCTGGAACTGCTCCCCATGAAGCCAGTCAGGACTCTGGGGTAGTCGCCTTTCTGTGAGCAGCCTGTCTTCAGGACACACAGCTCACACAGCTTCCACCTTCCTGGATCTGATCTCGGGCATTCAGCATCCTCTGCCTCTCCGTGCGCTTCCCACAGCGAGTCCGCTCAGGCGGTGCTCCTGGGGAAGCCAGAGGGTCCTGCACCCCAACCCAGTCAGACGTGACTCTCAGCCAGCCAGTAAAACAGAAGGTTTATTAGACGACAGGAACATGGTCTAAAACAGAGCTTGCAGGTGCAGAGAACGGGACCCCTCAGCTGGGTCCATTCTGGGGGCAGTGAGCCAGACAACCACGTCTCACTTCCTCCATGTCCCAGCCAGCCCCAAACTGAAAAACCCCTCCAGCCCCTCCTCCTCTGGGCTTTGTTCCTTTCCCGGGCCAGGAGGTCACCTGATTCCTTTGTTCTCCAACCCTTCAGCTCTCACCTTGCAGGGGGGGAAGGGCCCAGGCCATCAGTTGCCAGGAAACAGGGTGTCGGCCATTCTCTGTGTCCAGACTCCTCACACACATCCCTCTAGGGCACTGCAATGACATCACCCTTACCCCACCACCTAGATACTTAAGAACTGCCTAGGGGAAACTGAGGCACCCCCACACTATTCAGAGGAAACATTAAGAACAGTCCCACTTCGTCACAGGAGGCGATGCGAATGCTCAGCGTGGGCATCCCTCTCTTGGGCGTCATGGCCCAGCGCTCCGAGTGGCAGAGGAAATTCCCTCGTGCAGTGCCGTCTGGCTTCCCACCGCCCCCGGGAGCAGGGCCTACAGCTTCACCCCGTCAGGCCGGTCTCAGCCCTCACCTGTCCCAGGCACAGGTGGGGAAACAGACCCCGGGAGGGGATGGGCCTAAGGGAGTCCAGTGGCAGATGTGGGACCAGGGATCCTGGCTCTCGGTCCCACTGGTCCTCGGGAAACTAAGTCAAGAGAAAACCATTGCAGCCGAAAATCTCGAGGGAATCCCCCGTCCCCATCAGGCAGCGCCCTGGGCCAGGCCCCGGCGTTACCTTCAGCACCGTGACGTTCCAGGCGAAGCTCTCCAGGGCCTTCTGCAACTTCCTGCCCTTCAGCCCCTCCTTGGCCTCGAGGCGGTGCAGCTCCTTGTGGAAACCCATCCCTGGGGAGCAGAGCAGAGGGGAGCCGTCACGCCGAGCCGGGTGGGGAGAGCTGCTGGCGCCGACAGGAGGGGCCACAGCGGCCAGGCAGCTGGGAATACAGCAAAGCCGGCGCCAGGGTGCCCAGGGCTGGCTCCGGACGGAGATCGCCCTGCGCTGCTCACTGGTGCCCCGGCTGCACAAGGAGACACGGAGCTGCCCCAGAACAGCCCACGGGCAGGGGAGAGCAGTGGGGCACAGGCAGCCCACGTCAGGCCGGGGAGCTCTGCTGGCGGGGGGCCTGGGGTCAAAGGAGAGATCCAGGACTGCATCCTGCACCCCACTCGGGCAGCTCTACAGAGCTGGAAACAAGGGAATTCCACGTCACAAAGGGGGATCCCCAATAAGGCAGGCGCTCGGCTGCCCCTGGGGGACCGGTGCAGTCACGGTGCAAGTCAGAGCAGCCCCAGAGCCCAGGGGACGTGCGGGATGCCCGACGCCCGGCTCAGCGGGTCTGAAGGCTGGGACAGGTGTGATCCCAGCCGGCGGCAGGGCAGGGCCCAGCTGGCAGCTGTCACCACCCCTGCAGGGAGCAAGCAGCAGGTTCCCGTGGGCTCCGTCTCAGGCGAGGGCCCTGGGGCCGACGTGGGGGGCGGTGCCCTGTGGGCACGGACGGGGTGTACGTGGGAGACGTGGGCTCTGAGTGCCTTGGACTCCAATGGGAGCACCGTGGGATGGTGGCTGGAGGCAGCCGGGCTGTGGCTGGGGGGCCTGTGCCCCGGGAGCAGGCAGGTGGGCTGTAGGGCTGAGCTGCGTAGGGAGGAGTCTCCCCAGGGGGGTGGCATCGTGCCCAATCTGAGCCCTTCGCCAGGTGGATGGTGACACTGCCCCAGTGAGGTCTGCCCATGCGGTGCTGCTGGGGGGCCCCGCCAGGACAAGCGCCCCCAGCAGGAGCCTTTCCCGCGGACTCACTGGCCTCCCACGCCCGAGCCAGCAGCTTCCAGCCGCCTCCGGGCGCCCTCCGCGCCGGGGACCAGGGAACGGCCTCGAGAGCTGGCGGGGGAGGCAGCAGCCAAGGCCACCCCCCCCCAAACCTCTGCTGAGCAAGGAGCCTGGGGTCGCCCGCAGAACAGCCCCTCCACGTCTCGCCCGGGCACCCGCACAGCCACGAAGCTGCCTGTGGGGGAGGGGATCCCAGGAGCTGAGGGTAGCGACCCCCCCCCCGGGGAGCCCTGTAACCCTCCAAAGTCCTTCCCGCCCTGTGGGAGCTCACGCAGGGCCCTGCCTGTCCCCCGCACTGATCCCCCTTCATTAGCGCAGGGCTCCGGCTCGTTATCTCGGCTGACGCTAATGGGAACTGATGGGAAACGTCCGTGTCGGCCTCCCGGGGCCATGGGGCAGGGCCACCAACACCATGCATGGGCATGTAGCCCCCCCACGCCCCTGGGGCAGCAGATGGAGATCACTCAGGGGCCGTGGGGCATGGGGGCCCCTCTTCCTCACCACCTGCCAAGCCGCTCAGTGAGCTACGGGCTCTAACCAGCAAAGGCAGCTCCCCCCAGACACCCCCCCACCGACACCACGCCCCCCCACCAATACCGTGGCCCCCATCCCCACACAAATAGCACAAACCCCATCCCCCCAGAGACCCCACACCGATACCATACCCCCCCCCAAAAACCCCGACACCATGGCCCTCAGAGACCTCCCACCGATGCCACCGCGGCCCCCATCCCCTACAGCGACCCCCCACCGACACCATCACAGCCCCCACCCGACACCCCAGCCCCCCGTGACTCTACACTAAGTGAAGAGGTGCAGCCCCCGCAGTAACCTGCCCCCCGCGCGGGCCCTGTGCTGAGCCAGCACGTAAGGGGTTAAGCGGACCCCCTGCACAGCGCCCCGAGCACGTGTCCCCCCCCACGGTGCCGGCTACGGGCCCACACGCTGCGGCTCGCCCACCTGCCGTCCATCATCCCCCTCCACACCGCACCCCCCACTGGGGGTATTGACCCTGGGGGGATCTGGGCAGGGCCTCGCCCCCCGCACTGTGCGTCAAGGTTCACGCTGGGGGGCAGGGCAGGGGGTGGGGCACTGGGCTGGGGGGACAGGGATTGACCCAGCCCAGCTGGCCGGCCCCCTGGGACCCGCGCTCTGCCTCACACCCGTTAATCCCGGGCTATTTATAGTGCTCCACGCTCCTGGTGCTCCCCGAGGATCCAGCCAGCCAGGGCGCGGGGCTCTGACCCCCGGCCCTGCTGGCCACAGTCTCCGCCACGGCCCTCCTGGGTGCAATGACCCACAGCCAGCGCTGCCCCGACTGAGGGGCACCGGCAGAGCTGGGGGGGAGCCCAGGGCTGCGGGTCGGGAGTGAGGGGCACCGGCAGAGCTGGGGGGGAGCCCAGGGCTGCGGGTCGGGAGTGAGGGGCACCGGCAGAGCTGGGGGGGAGCCCAGGGCTGCGGGTCGGGAGTGAGGGGCACCGGCAGAGCTGGGGGAGCCCAGGGTTGGGCTGGCAGGCGTGGGGGGCTGGAGGGAGGTACATCGGCACAGCCTGACAGCAGCACATGCCTGTGTGCGTTCAGCCCCGTGTCTTTTATGCCATAACACCCTGTTGCCACTTACGCCGACAGCCCCAGTCTGTTATTTCTGGTGCTAATTATATTCCGGGGTTTGGCAGTTAACGACTCCTCTCTGATTCCTCCGCTCCGCCCAGCGCCCGCCCCTCGGCGGCCCTCTGCCCCCTCTCAGTGCTGGGGGCTGGGGCCCTGCTCCTGGTGCAGGGCGGGCTCCATCTCCTGCCCTGGCCCCCCCGTGGCGGCAGGGAGCTATTCCCGGGGCCGAGGCGCTCGCTCCACGGATCAGGTGTCTCAGCTGGGAGCAGCCAGGAGAGGGGACAGAGCCGTGTCCTATACGCACACCCCTGGGTCGAGCCAAATGCACCTGCCCCCGACACGCCCCAGCCCCGTTCCCTGCCCACAGATGCAGCCACAGCTCCTCCGCTCGCTGTCCTGGGAAACAGGAGACAGGGCCCGGCTGGCCGGGGCTCGGGGGCTGTGCAGAGCCCGGCAGATTCCCCCACGGCCAGCGCCAAGGTCACCGCCCCAGCAGGAGCCACCAGCTCCATCGGCCAGGCCGGGCCGGCTGGGGCCCGGGGTCTTTCCCCTCCAGGGGTGCCGGCTCCCATCCAGCCCCGGGGAGGGTAGGGGGACGGGGCGGGCCAGGGAACCTCCAGCCACGAGGGTGCTGAGGCCCCATTAGCGCCGGGCCTCGTCATGCCAGCGGGTGTCACTGGTGACCAGCACAAAGGCCACCCCCACCCCCCGTGGCCCCAGGTGCCCATAGCCCCCCAGCACCCTGGGGGGAGCGGAGTCGGGGCCCCCAAACCCACCCCGCTCTGCAGCCGGGCCCAGCAGCCTCCAGCCTCCCCAGGCAGCACGTGGCACCTGCCCCCCCGTGGCACGTACCCGCCTGCTGGGCTTGCATCAGCTTCCTGTGCACAGCGTCGGCCGACTCGATCAGCGTCCGGCTGGTCTGGATCGTCTGTGGGAGCAGAGACGGGGGCAGTGAGGGGGCAGGATGGGGGACGGCCCAGCACCCGGGTGACCCCTTCCCGCACCGGCCCCCGCAGGCTCCCCCCAGCCCCAGCCTCCCCGCTCCCAGCAATGCCTGGGCCAGGCGCCCCGGGCTCCTGGGAGCGCAAAGGAAGGAAGCGGCTCCGGCGGCTCCTATGAACGGGACTCGTGCCGCCCGCGGGGACGAGGGGCAGGGGGCTGCGCTGGCGAATGGACCCCGAGGGGGCCGCGGGAGCGACTCGCGTCTGGCTGGCTGCCAGCAGGGCAGGTGGCAGGACCAGGCCATGCTGGGACCTCGCTCTCCCACCCTGGGGCGGGGGGCTGGCACTTCCCGGTCAACCTGGCCTGGCCACCCGCGCCCCCGGGGCCGCAGCAGGGAGCCGGCTCGGGCGGGGTGGGGGCTGGCTGCCGGGCGGGAGCTTACGGTCTCGTAGGCGGTGAGCACTTTGCGGAGTAGCTCTGGGACGGGCCCCTGGGCCTCCATGGGGGGGTACTGCTCGCCCAGGTTCAGCGTCACGCTGGGGGTGCTCTCGCTGCGCATCAGCCACGTGGCCACGGTCAGGATGCACTGCTTCATGGTGGCCGCCGGCGTCAGGCCGCACAGCTCCTTGAAGGAGACCAGGGCGTTCTGGAGATGGAGAAACAGTGAGCCGGACACCCCACGGCGCGCTGCGTGGGGAGGGCAGGGCCGCAGCCCCAGCTAGGAGCCCTGCACAGCCTGGCCTGGGGCACTAACACAGGCCTTATACTGGGGGCCTCCCAAATAGAACCCAGGCGTCCTGACCCCCACCCCTCCCCCAGACGCTCCCACCCACTAGACCCCCCTCCCCTCCCCGACGGGGAGAGAACCCAGGTGTCCTGACCCCCACCTCTCCCCCAGACACTCTAACCCACTAGACCCCCCCCACCCAGGCGTCCTCCCCCACCTCTCCCCCAGACCTGCCCCGGAGGGAGAGAACCCAGGCGTCCTGACCCCCACCTCTCCCCCAGACACTCCCCCTCCCCTCCCCGGGGACCCAGGCTCTGACCCCCACTCCCCCCCAGACCCTCCCCCCCCCGACCCCCCCCCCCCCCCCCCCGGGGGAGAGAACCCAGGCGTCCTGACCCCCACCTCTCCCCCAGACACTCTAACCCACTCGACCCCACTCCCCTCCCCGAGGGGGAGAGAACCCAGGCGTCCTGCCCCCAGCCCCCACGCTGCTGGCCCGGCGTGTACCTGCATGTTCTCCCGCAGGTCGGTGGCCTCGCGCAGCGGCTGGCCAGCCGCGCGGAACACCTCGTCGATGGGCTTGATGCCCGTGGCCTTGGCGGAGGCATACTCCCGCAGCCGCCGGCCCCTGCGCCCGGAGCGCCCCCGCCCCTTGCCCCCGCCGGGCCGGTCGGCGATGGCCACGTGCAGGAAGAGGGTGGCGTGGGGCAGCAGCTCTCCGGCCAGGGACCGCAGGGGCACGTGGCGGTAGCCGCTCTGCAGGCACTCGAAGGGGATGGTGTACTGGGCGATGAACTCGTCCCCGATGTAGTCGTCATCCAGCACCACCAGGCGCAGCAGGGCCAGCTCGGGCAGGTTCACCTGGAACTCCAGGCTCTCCTCGAAGACCGGGTTGTCCCCGCTCTGCAGCGCCGTCTTGGTGCGCCGCTCGGCACAGTCGGCCGGGATGCCGTGGATCTCGGCGCAGACGTAGGGCTCCACCACGTCGCCCTTGGCACCCGAGCCCCGGGGCTTGGGCAGGTTCTGCCCGCTGATCACCCGGAGGTGCAGCAGCTGGGCGGGCACGCCGGGCAGCGAGTCCTTGGCGTTGGCGCTGAAGTAGGAGACCTCCTCCCGCATGACGGCGGGGCGCAGCACGTACCCGCAGGCCCCGTTCTGGCGGAACCAGCCCGCGTTCAGGTCCATCATGAGCCCCGGCGTCTGGAAGTTCATGGCCACCATCTGGCAGCCGCACTTCCAGAAGTCCTGCGGGTTCGCGTTGCTGGCGTCGATGCGCAGGGGGCTGGGGTAGACCCGCGACAGGAACCGCTTGTTGTAGCTCACCAGCTCGGCGGGGCACTCGCTGGCGAAGCGCCCGGCCTCCGCCTCGCTGAAGGAGCAGAGCTCCCAGTAGCGCTGCCCGCGCCGCGAGGCCTCGAAGTCCTGGAAGGGCACCTCCTGGCACAGGCTCACGAGCTCCGACAGCTCCCTGCTCAGCCGTAGCCTGCGCCGCCCGCCCCCCGCGGGCGGCTGCCCGTCGGCCTCGCCCGGGCACTGCCCCGTCTCCGGGCCCTCCTCCTCGTCCGTCACCTCCCCCTCGCTCTCGTGGCAGCTGGGCTGCAGCTTCCTGCCCTTGATGAGGACTCTGCCCTTGAGGGTCTCCGGGGAGGGCAGGTAGGCCTCCTCGGGGTCGGGGGGGTCCAGGTACAGCTTGGCGCCCAGGGTCTTCCTCAGGCACTGGGCCATCAGCCTCTGCTGGGCGGGCGAGCAGCGCACAGCCAGGCACAGGACGAGGGGGTATTCGGAGGCCTCGAAGGCGTACCGGTCGATCACGCCCACCACGCTGCGACAGGCCACGCGGGAGGCGGCCGAGCGACCCCCGGAGACCAGGGGCTCGCCCTCCGGGCCATCCCACACCACCAGCTCCAGGCTGCGGCAACCCATACGCAGGGCCGCAACGTAGCCGCCGAGGCCGGTGCTGCCCCAGGAGCTGTCCTCCCGCAGGCAGGCGCCATGGGCCGAGCTGATGTAATAGTGGGACAGGGGCTGCGTCATGTCCTGGCACACCCGGAGGTGCTGCGGGTCGAAGATGGAGCAGTCCGGGGAGAGCAAGTAGCGGGTGAAGCCGTCGATGGCCAGGTGGCCCTTCTCCCGGCCCTCGCTGGAGGGCTCATATTTGCCAATGATCTCCAGGCACGTCTCCTCGGTCACCCCCTCCATGCCCTGCTCCACCTCCAAGAACGTCAGCAGGTCCTTCAGCCCCAACGACTCCTTGTCGCTGGAGAACTGGACCAGGAGGAAGAAGATCTCGGGCCTGGTGCAGAGGTCGCAATAGGCCTCCACGAACAGGTCGCAGGCCACGTCGCTCCCTGGCCGCTCGCCGGCCTTCTGCAGCTCCTTGAACTTCAGCTCGATGGTGGAGGCCTTCATGCCCGGGTTGAGCGCCTTGATGAGCTGCACAGCCCGGGCCACGGGGATCTGGCCCACTTTCTCCAGGTCCGCCACCTCAAAGACTGAGGAGATCCAGGAGGTCCGGAGGCTGGGGTGGCCGGCCTCGGGCGCCTCCGGCGTGTGCTTCCCGTAGGACACCAGGTACCTCAGCCCCATCACCCAGGCGTTCACCACGTCGGGCGAGCTGGCCACCAGGTCCAGGGACTCGTAGTTGTCGCCGTGGATGATGGAGAAGGCGCACTCGTCCGGGAACTGGTCGGAGAGGCCGTTGCTCCGCAGCACGGGCGTCTTCTTCCCCACCCGCACCTCCTTGACCGACTCGATCTCGATCTTGGCCTTCTCCGAGTCCTTCTTGGAGGGCTCCCACCGCAGGTCGCGCATGTCAGGGGCCAGCAGGAAGAAGCGGCTGTACATGCGGGAGTTGGAGCGAACCTTCTTCATCTCGCAGCCCTCCAGCATGAAGGAGATGCAAGCCGCCGTGCTGTTGATCTTCCGGTCGTGGGGCATAGTGCTGAAGGACACAGTCTTCTTCTTCTGAACTGGCCTCTGGCGAGAGCCGTCCTGCCGAGGGAGAACACAGCGGTCAGGCCCTGCACAGAGACCGACAGGTCGGGCCGCGGGTCGGGCTGCACAGAGGCAGACCGGAGGGGCAAAGGGCGACGCCCCACACAGGGACTGGGGCGAGCGCCATCTGCTCCCGGGACCCAGGCTGAAAGCAGAGCCTGGCGTGGGGCTCCTGCCCCTGCGGCCAGCAGCTGGCAGGCTCCTTCGAAGCGGAGCACAGACGGGAGGAAGGACGGCGCTGTTCTGGCTCAAGCCGGGGACCTGGGAGGCCTGGGGGGAAGGCCCACCTCTGGCACAGCCCTGCTGGGTGACCCTGGGCACGTCCCTTCTCCCTGCACCTAACTGGCTGGGGGCAAGCTCAGGACCCTCGACGCCCCTCAGGGAGCCCGCCCGGCCGCACAGGGGACAGTGCAGCCTTCATGGGGGGCTGTCTCTTGCCTGCGTTACTGCCACGGTTGGTTTTGCTCTGAAGGGAAAGCTCTGTTCGGCGCAGCGGGTCCGTCTCCTGTGGGGTGGCCAGATAGGCTCAACCCCCCCGCACTGCAGGGCCCCGGCAGTGACCCCCCAGCCAGCCGCCAGATGGGGGCTCGACCGCAGCCGCCTCAAAGCCTCTGTCCCTCCTTCCGCCCTGGCAAGGGGCAGGGGCCTGATAAGGCCAGAGCCAGCATGGCCCCTTCGAGCTAAATATAGGGCACATCCTCCCGTGGCCGCCACACAGGGACCCCCGCCCCCTTCCTCCGCTGCCAGCCGGCTGCTGAGCTCTTCCTTCTGGGACCCAGGGGCAGGAGGTGGGCCCCTCCTGGTTCCCCGTGGGCAGCGTGTGCTCCTGATGCCACTGCACAAGGACCCTGCACCCCGGGACCCCCACCTGGCTGGATTTGCTTCTCCTTTGAGCTGCAGCCCCTGCTATCCCACCCCAGGGCTCCCCAGTCCTGCCCCCCCAGCTCTGCTGGTGCCCCTCACTCCCGACCCACAGCCCCCTGCCAGCCCAGCCCTGAGCCCCCCAGCTCTGCTCTTGCCCCTCACTCTCAACCCGCAGCCCAGAATGAATGCCCAAATGGGCACCAGGACCCCGATTCCAGCGAGCGGGAACTGGAGTTGAAGGAACCAACCATCCCATAGACGATCAGCCACCCACGCTGAGTAGCTGGGGGGAGGGGGGGATCTCGGCTCCAGCTCCCCTCCCCCACACAACTCTGTCTCAAGGTGATTCCCCGGCTCAGGCCTTGGACAGACAAAATAGCCCTGTGGCCCTGAAAAGCTCCCGGACCAGCTGGGGAGCCCCCAGCATCCGTGGGGCAGCCAGCCTCATGCCAACCCCTGCCCCCAGCGAGCGGGGTGCTCCCCCAGCCTGCTTCCCCACCTCCTCCCCGGCTCCACCAAGCGGGGTGATCCCCCAGCCCGCCCCATCCCTGGGACCAGGGGCAGGGCACAAATGCTTCCTGCCCCTGCTGCAGGGGAGGAATGAGAGGGACGTGGTTGGGCGCCCCTCGGCCCATGCCAAGGCGGTGGCATTGGGGTGGCTCCTGGCGGGAGCGGGAAGCCCTGCTGGGATGCTGGGACTGGCTGGATCCATGGAGAGCGGGCTGCTGGGCCCCCGGACACACCCATGCCCCCAGGCAGGCAGAAAGCTGCTGCAGCAAGTGGGGTGGGGGGGGATTTCAAGGGATAAACACCGCCGGGTTTTAAGTTTTCCAGCCAAACTGAGGGGTGTTTTCCGAGCGGCTCTGGGGCGCGGCAGATCCTGGCTCATCTCTGGGGGGGGGGGGGGGGTGGAGTGTTTCGAGGGAGCCCCTGGGACGCTGGTGGCTGGGCAGGCCCCAGGGGGGCAGAGAGCAGCTGGACGAGGCCTGGGGCTGGGATAAGCAGATCCTGCCTGGGGTTTCTTCAAAGGGAAGTCTCCACGGGCTGCTCCTAGGAGATAAGGAGGGCGGGGGAGCAGCTGGTTCTCAGCAAACCAGACCCCTCAGCCCACCAGTCCTGGGGGGGGGGGGGGAATCCTGCTCGGGGGGGCTTTGCGAGGCCCATCAAGGCCCAGGCTCAGAGCCTGCTGCCCATAAACGATGAACGGAGGCGTGGGGGAGCGGACGGGAGCCCAAGGACACGGCAGCCAATTCCACGGACAGGCTCAATCCGCAGGGGCTGGTCCCGCAAGGCTGCGTGGGGCAGGGCGGGGGGGGGGGGAGGGCGCGGGATGGACCAGCCCCAAGGGCAGCTCCCAGCTCAAGGGCTGGACCCTGCGCAGCAACGGGACAATGTAAAGACACAAAGGAGCTGACAAGAATCATTGGTGCCCCTCACTCCCGACCCGCAGCCCCTGCTAGGCCAGCCCTGGTCCTCACTGATCCCCCTGCCCCATCCTCGCTCTGTCAAGCAGAAATGCATGGAGCCAGTGTCTCCCCCACATGGCTCCGCAGCTGAGCCCCCCACCGACCCCCCCACAAGCAGGACTTGCTGCCCTTTTAATCCAGAGGATCTTCCAATCAAGAGCAGCTGGTGTGAACTGATCCCCGGAATCCGAGATTCCTGCTTTGGCCCCTCTGAACTTCCCCCCAACCCTGCTGTCACGGAGTCCCCGGGCGATGCTCTGGAACTGCTCCCCATGAAGCCAGGCAGGACTCTGGGGAAGTCTCCTCTCTGGGAGCAGCCTGTCTGCAGGGCACACAGCTCACCCGGCTTCCACCTTCCTGGGTCTGACCTCGGAGCATTCAGCCTCCTCTGCCCCTCCGTGCGCCTCCCACAGCGAGTCCGCCCAGGCGGGGTCCTGGGGAAGCCAGAGGGTCCTGCCCCCCAACTCCGCAGTCAGACGTGACTCTCAGCCAGCCAGGAAAACAGAAGGTTTATTAGACAACAGGAACATGGTCTAAGACAGAGCTTGTAGGTGCAGAGAACAGGACCCCGCAGCTGGGTCCATTTTGGGGGGCAGTGAGTCAGACAACCACGTCTGCCCTTCACTCCATGTCCCAGCCATCCCCAAACTGAAACTCTATCCAGGCCCCCCCCCCCCCCCCCCAACCCCCGCCCCCCGGCTTTGTCCCTTTCCCGGGCCAGGAGGTCACCTGATTCCTTTGTTCTCCAACCCTTCAGCTCTCACCTTGCAGGGGGGAAGGGCCCAGGCCATCAGTGGCCAGGAAACAGGGTGTCGGCCATTCTCTGTGTCCAGACCCCTACACACACCTGCCCTCTAGGGCTCTGCAACAATCATACACCCTTACCCCACCACCTAGAGACTTAAGAACTGCCTAGGGGAAACTGAGGCACCCCACAATATTCAGAGGAAACATTAAGAACAGTCCCACTTCGTCACACTTGCCAGGTACCCAGGTGTCACTGTCACCATCAGCTAAGGGACCCCCATGTGTGCACCGCCCACCCCACTCTTGCGGCTGAGAGACACAGAGCCAGTGGCTCGTGGCTCACTCAGCCAGGATGATGCCCTGACAGTGGAGGGTCCCCTCAGCCCTGGGGGGACAGGGGGTCGCTTCAGCCACTCGAACAGCTGCAGCCCACCAGGGTCAGGGCTCCCTGCGCTGGGCACTGAGCAGCCCCCACCTCAGGGGAGCCCCCAGCTCTACCAGCCTCCCACACATGGCCCAGTGGGGAGAGGTTCCTGCCTGGCCAAGCCAGCTTGTTTTAGCTCCGTTTTCCTTCCTTCCTTCCTTCCTTCCTCTCAAGGCCGGAGGCCGCTCGCCCTCCCCTGGCGGCCTGGCCACTTGGGCTTCCTCCCTGCACAGGGAGGCCCAGCCCAGCGCAGCTGCCCCACCAGACCTGGGGTTAGAGCAGCTCGGCCCCAGCTCTGACATGGGCCCCTGCCCCCACCATGAACCTGCCCCCGTCTTCCCCCAGGGATGGACGTGCCCGCAGCCCCCTTAGCCCATCAGCGCTAACGACCCTGGTGCTACGATTCAGTCCTGCCCCCCGCCCTGCAGCACCATGCCAGACCCCAGCTACCCCGCACCCGACCAGCACCCGCAAAGGGAAAAGAAAACTGCAGACACCCCCAGCTTGCTACCCAGAGAGGCCCCTGCCCCCCCCACGGGGCCCATTCATCACAGTATCCCCAAAGCCAGCCCTGGGGGACGGGGAGGGGGGCTGGGCCTTTGGGCTCATTGCACAGCAGGGCTGGCCCAGGCCAGGCCACCTTCCACCCCAAGGCCCCGCCGAAGGCTGCCGCTCAGCTTGGCCCGGCAGCAGGACCCAGCACCGGGACCTGGCCCCCAGCCCCGGGCAGGGCTGTGTCGGAGCAGGAGCGACCCCAGGGAGTCGCTGCCCTAACGGGGCTGCCCTGTGACCCCCAGGCCAAGGCCCACAGGGAACACACACCGGCTGCCCTCAGAGGGCCCTGCTTGACCCACACCCCAGGGGGCTGCTCTCGGGAGCCAGGCCTGGGGAAACCCAGAGTGGCAGTGACCAAAGCCTCAGGCGAAGCAGGCAGCTGCCCTGTCCCTGCGGCTGGTGCCTCCCAGACACGCTGCCCCCTTCCCTGGCCCAGGTCAGGGCATCGGCCCCTCCCTTCCCGAAACAGTGTGGCCACATGGGCAGTCTCTATACTGTGTATTGGCCCTTGCACTCTGGGCTGGAAGCCTCACGTGCTGCTCTCGCAGGGAGAGAAACTCCCTGGGAAGGACGAAATCTCTAGGTTGGGGGGCCGAGTTCTGGGGGGAGGGGTGGGGCATCTGCCAGGCAGGGGGTACCAGCCCGAGGTGCCTGCAGAGCCCCGGGACTCCCCTCCCAGGGGAGGAGTAAAGCACCAGCTGGGAGGGCACCAGCACCCAACCCGCCTTTGGTCGTCCCGGGAGCCAGCAGAAACTGGGGCTGTTCTGATTACGGAGCCGCTGTACAGGGCTGGGATGTCAGAGGGGCTGCAGGTCGGGAGTGAGGGGCACCGGCAGAGCGGGGTTGGGGGGAGCCCGGGGCTGGGTTGTCAGAGGGGCTGCAGGTCGGGAGTGAGGGGCACCGGCAGAGCGGGGTTGGGGGGAACCCGGGGCTGGGTTGTC